TCTACACCTCCCATCGCCCCTATCCCCCCCATCCCACTCATCCCCCCGATCCCCCCCATCGCACCTGTCCCCCCCAAACCATCCATCCCTCCACTAACCGTACCCCCTGCACTGCCCATCCCTCCCATCCCTCCCGTCCCTCCCATCTGTCCCATTGATCCCATCGTTCCAGCGCCACTCGCAGCACCTGCAGCACCCATCCCACCCAGGCCACCCATGAGGGTGGGTGCAGCGGTGGGGGGCGGGGAGTGGGGCAGGCCGAGGGACGCAGCAAAGGCAGCCACGGCGGCTGGTGGGAGTGGCGGGCGCACGGGCTGTGAGGGGCAGCGCAGGAACGAGGCCAGCGATGCTGGCGTGCTGACAGGGGGAGGGCATGGGGTGGGTGGGGTGGGGCACAGGAGCGGTGAGGAGGTGTGGAGTAAGGTTGAGAGAGTGGGGCTTTGTATAGATTTGGCAGAGAGATGAGTGGTGCGGTGCTGGGAGCAGCAAGCAGATGGGCAGAGGGAGAGGAAGAGCATGATACGAGCACATCGCATGCACAGCAGCATACAAGAGAGGGGCATATCGATAAGAGCATACCCCGTAAGAGCATACCCCATAAGATCATACCCCGTAAGAGCATACCCCGTAAGAGCATACCCCGTAAGAGCATACCCCGTAAGAACATACCCGATAAGGGAATCAGCCCCAGACAGCATCATCTCTACTGCTGCCATCTGCATCACCTGCTGCCGCCGCTCCTCCCCCTCCTCTCCCCCCTCCCCACCCACGCCATCCCCCTCCCCGTCCATCAAAACCCCGTCCCCCACACTCCCCACTCCCCCCACGCCTCCCACTCCTTCCCCCACACCCTCCACGCCCACGGCAGCGAGGTGCAGCAGGTCGCAGCGGTCCAGGCATGCTCTGAGGGAGCGCCCCATGCGGGCGAGGCGGTGGGCGAGGGTGTCGGTGAGCACGCACAGGGCACTGTCCGCTGCGCCCTCACACCCCACCTGCTGCAGCGCCGTCGCCACACATGCCTTCAGCCGCGCCCTCGCGCGCTCCTCCCCCTGCTGCTGCTCCTGCTCCTGCTGCTGCTGCTGCTGCTCCTGCTGCCTGCGTGTGCTCTTCCCCATCTCCCCGCCCCCCCATCCCTGCACTCACGCCAGATGAGTGCCGCCCCACTTCTCTCCCCCCACCCGCACCCCAACCCGCGCCCCTGTGCGCGCCCCCCTGTGTGCGCCAGGGGCAGTGGAGGTGCCAGGGGGGGCGGGCAGAGGCCACCACAGGGTCGGGCACGGCATTAGCCAAAGCATCCATGTCCCAGTCTTCCCCACACACGCCTTCTCTCTCCCACGCCCCCTCCTCTTCACCCTCCCCCCCTCCCTCCCCGTCTTCCTCCCCTCTTTCCACGCTTCTCCCGCTGCGCTCATTCCTCTGCTGCTGCCGCTGCTGCTGCTGAATGAGACGAGCCATGCCGGCCGCGGTGCGCACGAGCGCAGCCCGCTCGCGGAAGGGCTTGCAGGAGTGCTTGGCGCGCTTCACAGCATGCAGCAGCCGCCACTGCCGCCGCCGCCGCCGCCTCTCCTCCCTCCTCCCCGCCTCCCCCTCCCCACCCCTCCCCTCTCCGCCTCCCCACTCCCCTCCCCCGTTCCCCTCTGCTTCCCCCTCTCCCACGAGTGAGGGGAAGGCGGGGGAAGAGGGGGGGGGCGGGTTATCGTCTTGGGATGCGCTGTGAGGTGCGCCCAAACCCACCCTGGCGCAATATGGGGGGGAGCAAGAAGGGGAACGAGGAGAGTGGGAGTGTGAGGGAATGGAGGTGAGCAAGGGAGAGTTGAGAGCTATGGCCACGTGGTGCGATGTGGGTGGCACAGCTGGCACAGGATGGCATGGCATGGCATGGCATGGCATGGCATGGCATGGCATGGCATGGCATGGCATGGCATGGCATGGCATGGCATGGCATGGCATGGAAGAAAGCTCAAGGCATGTAGTGCGATGTGGGTGGCAGAGATGGGATGCAAGTGGCAGGTGGCGGCATGGCACGGCTGCACGGAAAATGTGAGCAGTGGCATGGGGTGGCACAGCACAGCAGCACCTGCAGATGATGGGGCGCTGAGGGGACCCTCCTGCTGGCGGATGGCGCGCAGCACTGCAGCACGCACCTACAGGTGGCAGGTGGCAGCATTGCATGGCAAATGCGAGCCACCTGCGGTGGCAGATACGGCAGATGCATCCGCAGGTGCGCCCTGTGAGCATGGCATGGGGCGCACCTGCGGATGATGGCGGCGCTGAGGGGGCCCTCCTGCTGCCGGATGGCGCGCAGCACCGCCATGCAGTGGGCGGACGGCTGCGCGGCTGACAGCATGGCATGCCACTCGTCCACGTCATCGTCCAGGCACGGGTACACGTCATCATCGACTGAAGCGTACACGTCATCGTCGTCTATCAGCGGATTCCCCTCCGCGCCCCTTCCCCCTATCCTCTGCGCCAATCCGCCCCCTGTAATTTCCCCCCAAGCCTCCCCCTGCGCCTTTCCGCACGCCTCCCCCACGGCGCGCCCCAGCAGCAGCGAGCGCGCGCGCAGCTGCACGCGGAGCATAGCGGGGGAGAGATCCGCGCCTGCGGGAAACACAGAGACGAGCATAGCGGAGGCAAGAAAAGGGGGAGGGATTGGGTGGTGGGTGGGAGCAGATAAGATGGCGCGTTTTTGTGTGGGGAAGGTAAGAAATGGCGGCGGTTTGGGAGCGCGGAATGCGGGCAACGGCGACGCGACCTAAGCGAGAGGTGCGGAGGGCACAAAAGCGCACGCGGCGCGCACGCCCCCTCACGCAAGAGTGCGTCTATGCCTCAAGTCATACTCGACACGTGCGCGCCCCCTAACGCTCCCGCGCATTCCCCTGCGCCGCACTCACCAGTGCCAGCGGCGAACTCCGCCCACGTGGCTGGGTCGCGCAGCCACGGCGCAAGCACCGCGTGGTCCGCCTCCCCCAGCCACTCGCGCCACACGCCCCTCGCCTCCAAGCCAACAGCCACGCCATAATCGAAGGCCATTGCAGAGCGATGCAGTCAGGTACTGATTGCGGATGTATGGAACGACATTCGACGTGCCTTCTATCAAGTGTGAGTAACGAAGCCCTCGAGTAATGCTAGTGTCAGCAAAGTTGGGGAATAAGTGAACTTCAGCATTCCATCCGTCGATTAGTTCTCACACTCTTACCGCGCAGCGACCGATAAATGAAGTGGCACTTTTGAGTCAGAGGCGCACAAGCTGGTCCAACAAAAAGAGAAAAAGAGGGAAAAACGGGGTACTGCGAGAATCGAACTCGCGGCCTCTCGCACCCAAAGCGAGAATCATACCACTAGACCAAGCACCCAGATGGCGGATGGACAGACGTAAAATACAAACTTATTTAAGAAGGTATCAAGAGTAGCACTGTCATACAAAGAACGTTTTCTGAAGACAAGTACTTCGGCCAACTTCATTGATACTCAAATTATGCCTGACGCGGTTTGCAAGCGTACTCAACTTCGATTTCTCATCGTTGATTGGTTCTCGCTTTTCAATCACACTTTTCAGGCTAATAACAGCTCCAAAATGTGATAGAAACAGAACGCGATAACAGAACTTAATTCGACAATATTTTGTGGAGGTGCTACCTTACAAAAGATAGAAAAACATTGAAAAATCAACCCTTTACAAAGAAAAAATTTATAAAGCGCATATTTTGTAAAGATAAAAAAACATTGGAAAAAAATGCAGACTTGGAATAAAAAAACAGAATTGAGTCGATGACATCATGTGACAGGGTTTAAAGGGTTGATGACATCCTTACTGGATGCCTTTCAGTAGGAGGGCTGTTTTTTGCCTTTCGGGTAGCAATCTCTGCTAGGCGGTGTTGTTTGTTGTAGCATAAAAACCTAAACACTATACGACATCCGGTATTTACGGTTAACATTACAAGATTATTTCTTGGTTATCCAAGCGTTTTAGTATGTTCCCTTTTTGATTGGGTATGTGCGGACCTGCTAATGGCGACTTTGTTTCAGTATTGTGCTTATAATAGTTGACAAATCTTTACACTGACTATACTGAAAAATTGTCGGTTGAGTACGCTTGCAAACCGCGTCAGGCATAATTTGAGTATCAATGAAGTTGGCCGAAAGTACTTGACCCATCAAACAGTCCCAAACCCACACGCGAGACGAGTCAAACCATGACGAAGACTGCTTGCTCCCAGAGTCGATATTCGCCTTTTTGACCAATCAGACATGAGAATGGCATCACACCAATCGGCTGAGCCACAGCAACCACGAGGTGGGCCTGGTTACAGGTCAGCGGTGCTGGCGTGGGCGTGGGGTCATCCGCTGACACCCAAGCCCGACCCACTGATGACGTAAACCCCGCGGTCAGGTTTGGCGTTTCGTGGGGTTACCACCTAAAGTGGTATATTCGCGGTATTAGCAGGTCGAGCCTCTCAGTTTTAGGCGAGGTCAATGGGTGATGAGCACGTGGCGGATGAGGGATGCCAGGCGCTTGTCCCTCCCGCCATGAAGTTGGATGGATGAAAAGTGACGGTGTGCGCTATGATTGGCTAGCACAAACAAACCTGAATCGGTTGCGATTGGTCAGTGAAGCCCGTAACCGAGCGTTGGTGCACCCTCGATTCTGGTTCGCTGGTGGCAACGATGAAGGCGTGCGGGCTGATTGAGGCCGATGGAGGAGAGAATGACTCCAGTGGCCAAAACGGTGATTCACCATCCCTCGCGTGGCCACGAATGACTCGAGTGGCCACCAAATTTGGTGATAATGACTCGAGTGGCCACGCCAGGGGATTCTTGCTGGCTTTTTTTTTCACGGCGCATTACCCTAAAGTGATAAAAAAATAAACCCCATGGCTTACGGCATGCCATTCGGGAGCCTCAACCCTAAAATTTTAGGGTTGAGGCTCCCTCGGATGGCATGCCTTCCGAGCGGGTTTTAGTTTTTTTCTTGCCCGCGGTCACTAATGTGTTCGCGCATTTATGCCCCCGCAGAGCAGTTTATGATCGCTGATATTTTTACCGCGCGCTCATTGGTCGGGCATTGGGCCGAAAATGACCGTGCAACTACTGTTGGTCGTGCATTTTTTACGGTTTTGTGTACAGTGTGTGGGCGAAATTTTCGGGTGCGGAACAGAACGGAACACTACCTAAGGATACCACTCGCACGAATGGGGAATTTCGTGGCTACAAAGCCCCGTAGGGTAATGCGCTAAAGAAAAAAAGCCAGCAAGAATCCCCTGGCGTGGCCACTCGAGTCATTATCACCAAATTTGGTGGCCACTCGAGTCATTCGTGGCCACGCGAGGGATGGTGAATCACCTTATTGGCCACTGGAGTCATTCTCTCCCGATGGAGGGTCACGATGCATCGCTTGCGAAGACAATTTCATGGTTGGAAATGTGATGTGGGTGGAGCATAAACGAGGTTGGTAATACGGTGCAGTGCGATGTGCCACGGTCACTGGATCAACCACAGATTCCACATGGCATGATAGCCCAACGCAAGGGCCGTGATTCCAGGTTGTGAAGGAAAAACATGGCGTCACAATACGAGGCACATCCATGAATAATCACTTGACACAGCTGCTTGTGTGACGTGGCGCGTTCTACCATACCCGCTTCAAGTGCTCGGCACTTAGTCTAGGTGCTTTAGCGGCTCCACTGACTCTTATCCACCGACAGGAGTAGCCGCCTTAGAAGCCCAGCAGCCTTTGGACTGGACTCGGCACGCTAACTTGCTCATTCTGTTCATTCGTGTCGTTGATACTTCACTCAAGCCTCGCGCTCCTGTCCTCTGTAAATATCCCCGTTATAAATTGACTGCTTCCCAGTTTAACAAATTGTAATTCCGAGTTGTAGTGGCAATATGTTCAGCCGACAGTAGTCCCGTGCGCGTTACTTCCCTAGGTACTGCCACTCGGGCTGCATGCCAAGCCACGACCGCGCGTAGCAACGTTAGCATCGTCAGGATCATGAGGCGCGAAGACGGGCGCGGGGAAGGGCGCGTAGCGTCCCCCCAGCAGGTGCAGCACGCGCACAAGGGACGCAGCCTGCCGAGCGTGCGGAGCGTGTCGGCGGGGCTGCTGCCGTCGTTCCGCGCCATCTCCAGCTACCTCCGCCATGTCTCCTCCTCCGCCGACTCCCTCGTCGCCTCCGCTGTCCGCTCCGCCTCCGCGTCGGTCGCGGCGGCCATGGCGCCGAGTGACGATAGCCAGAACAAGGAGCAGGTACGCTTCATGGAAACAACAAAATATAAACGAAAAGAAGAGAACAAAACAAACATGTGAAAGGAAAAAACTATTTCGGCGTACAAGCGGGTTAAAAGAGACAGCGCACGAGTTTCTTTTGACGCCACAACTTACTATTCGATGAATTGCTCGAACTCGTAGAGCAGAAGTGGCGTTTGTTGCCAAGTAAGCTATTTCCTTCCGCCGTCCCGCCACGCCGCAGGTCACTTGGGCGGGGTTCGGGTGGTTGGAGCAGGCGTCGTCCCGCGGCGCGTCCGTGCCCGTGTCCGGCACGCGCCACGTGCTCCTCGTGGCGTACACCACGGGCTTCCACGTGTGGGACGTGAGCCAACCACACGCCGTGCAGGAGCTCGTCTCGCGACGCGACGGCCCGGCGGACTCGCTACATCCCATCCCTTACGTCTCTAGAATCCCCCCGGATAGTCCGCTGCGCGACGCGCACCCCGTGCTCTGCGTCGTCTGTCCCCCTGCCGCCGCGCTTCCGCCTCTCTCGGCCGCAGCCTTGGGATCTCCGGGCTTGTCCGCGCAATTTCCGTACCTGGACGATGATGAACCGTACGCTGACGTGGCGGACGGGGTCGACGAGCCGTACGCGTGCGGAGATGAAACGGGCGGCGAGCAGAGCGTGCTGCGGTTCTACTCGATGCGGAGCGGTTCGTATGTGCACTCGATTGTGGTGGCGGGGCGGGTGATGGGCGTGAGGAGCAACCGCAACGTGCTGGCAGTGGCTGTCACGGAGCAGGTGGGTGGTGGCTTCTCAGCTATCACTTTCCCCCCTCCTTTTCCCTGCTTCACAACCCCCCGTTCTCCTCCTCCACTATCCCCCCTCTCTTTTCCTCCCCTTCTTCCCCTTCTCCCACCCGCCTCAACCCCTCCCCCTCCACCTCCCCTCCTCCTCCTTCTCCCCCAGGTGTACATATACGATCTACCATCGCTGCGCACGGCATTCAGTGTGCTCACGCACCCGCACCCCCTCCCCTCCGCCCTCCCCGGCATCACCCGCACGTCCCCCCACGGCGCCCTCGCCCTGGGCGCGCGCTGGCTCGCCTACCCCGCCAACCAGCCCCCCGCCCCCCCCGCCTCCGCGCCCCTCCCCTCCGCCTCCCCCTCCTCCGCCGCTGCTGCTGCAGCAGCGGGCGCGGGGGCAGCACTGGTGGGCAGCGCAGGGGTGGTGGCGCATTATGCCAAGGAGTCAGGGAAGCAGCTGGCGGGGGGGATAGCCGCCCTGGGAGACCTGGGGGTGCGGGCGGTCGGCAAGTATTGGACGGACATGGTGGCGGAGCCTGCCAGTGGCTCAGGTGTTTCCAGCGCGTCAGGTGCTTCAGGTGCTTCAGGTGGTTCAGGTGGTGCGGCGGGGTCGGGGTTTATGTGGAGCAGCAGGAGTCCGGAGCACATGTTTGCACCCGACTCACCACAGGCATCCGTGTCTGGGGCATCTGTATCAGGAGCGTCTGTCTCGGGAGCATCAGTGTCAGGGCTATCGGTGTCGGGGTCGTCAACAGATGGGTATGCGGACGCGAGTCCCAGGGCAGCAGCAGTGCACTCGCCCTCACCACCGCAGCTGCCCTCCATGCCACCTGTCGACCCCGGCCACGCTGGCAACGTGAGTGCTGCCCGCTCGACCCCCTTTTTCCCCGGCACATGCCACCCCACCCCACCACACCACACCCTCCCCACTCACATGACATGTAGTGGCTTTACTCTTGCCTCATAATCTGCATTTGCCACCGCATCCCATTCCCTCCATAAACCATCCCTTGCACTCCCTCACATGTGCGTGTGTGCTCACAGGTGATGGTGAGGGACGTCGCGACGAGGGCAGTGATAGCGCATTTCAAGGCGCACGGCAGCGCCATCGCAGTGCTGGCGTTTCACCCATGTCCCCTCCCCCCCTCACATGGCACGCGCATGTATGCTTGTGCATGTGTGGACAGGTGATGGTGCGGGACGTGGCGACGAGGGCAGTGATAGCGCATTTCAAGGCGCACGGCAGCGCCATAGCACTGCTGACCTTTGACAGCTCGGGCACGCTGCTGCTGTCCGCCTCGCACGCCGGCCACTCCCTCAACGTCTTCCGCCTCACCCCCACACCCTCGCCCCTCCACTCCCCCGCCAACGCCAACACGCCACTCCTTGACTCACACCCCCAGGTGCTGCCATGCCGCTTTACCACCTCTCACCCTGTGCTCCCCTTGTTGTACCTGCTCTGCTTGTACTCGTGCATGTAGTCACTTGTTTTTGCTCTGTTTGTAAATCGCAGTATCCCTTTGTTTGCTCGCTGCTTGCTCAACTCTAGCTCTCCATTTCTCTCCTTCATGCCCCTTTGGGAAACTATGCCCTTCCTGTCCCATATATCTGTCGCCTCTCTCCTCCTCTTCCTTCCTTCCTCTACTGCAGTCGCCCCCAGACGGCTGCTCCTATGTGCATTTGTACAGGCTTCACCGCGGCCTCACCAACGCTGTAAGGGAGCACTCTATGCCGAGTACACACACCCCCCTGCATGCATGCATGGTTACAGTTTTTCCAACTCCTTGCCTTGTGCATGTGACGTGACCTCCTCATCACTCCTCATTCCCACCATCCCCCTTACGCGCCCTTTCCCTGCCGCTGCACACTTACCTGCCCGCCCACCTGACCTCCTGCCCGAATGCGTGTCTGCCTGTCTGCCTGCCCGTCTGCCCGCCCACCCGCCCGCACCTCATGCATGACTCACAGGTGATACAGAGTGCAGCCATCTCACACGACAGCAGGTGGGTGGCGGTGTCATCAGCGCGGGGCACCACTCACCTCTTCGCCATCTCCTTACTGCTTCTCCACACCTCTGTGCACCCTCCCTCCCGCCCACCCGCCCACCCCTAATGTGTAATGTAACAGGTGATACAGAGTGCAGCCATCTCACACGACAGCAAGTGGGTGGCGGTGTCATCAGCGCGAGGCACCACACACCTCTTCGCCATCTCCCCTTTCGGAGGCCCCGTAGGCCCAGCCACACACCTCCCCTCCGCGCCCTCGCCCACGCTCCTCCACCCTGTATATACCCACACGCCCTCTCTCCTCCCCCCGCCCCCCCCGCGCCCCTGGTGGTCCGCGCACGCCCCCCTGCGCGCGTCCCCCGCGCCTCCGCGCGCCCCTCCGCGCATCCCTGCGCCAGTAGCACTCAGTTCAGTGGGGCGAATTCGGAATGCCAACAGTGGGTGGCGGGGGAACGTGACAGGCGTGGCAGCGGCAGCAGCGGGACTAGGGGGAGAGATCCCAGGCGCTGTTGCTGCTGCTTTCCACTTCGGGGGGGTGCCAGGTGGTGGGGGGTTTGGAACGGTGGGAGGGAGTGGGGTTGGTAGGCACCAGCAGCACCAGCAGCAGCGGCAGCAGCAGGTAGTTTCCGGGCAGTTTTTCGGGCAGCCGGACTGGGCTCCGCAGCCAATAGCAGAGCAGCTGTGGGTGTTTTCCCCGTTGGGCCACCTGATACGCTACCACCTCACTCCCTTCGCCGCTGCTGCTGACCGCTCCTCCTCGTCCTCCTCCTCCTCCCCCTCGCACGCCCACAGCAGCCCCATGCACACACCCCACTCGTCGTACACCCACCACCCACACCAGCAGTACACGAGCCACACCTATGACCCCAGAGGCATGTTCATGCCTCCGCACGCCATGGGTGCCCATAGCAGGGCAGGCGGCATGCACGCTAGCATGGGCGCTATGGGCTCCGCCCCTGCTTTCCCCCCATACTCCCCCTTCCCCCCCGCGCCCCCCATGGCGCAGTCCGACTCGTCTGTTCTAGGGGGTCGCTCGTTTGAGCGTCTGCCGTCTCTCCCCACCCTGGCGCTGCGCTCCGCTGCTGCTGCCGCGGGGGTGAGGGGTGTGGGGGGATTGGGGGGCGCGGGGGGCGGTGCAGCGGGGGAGGTGGTGGTGCGGGTGGCGGCGGAGGCGAGTGAGGTGTGGGATGTATGCCGGCGCGTGAGCTGGAGCGACCGTGATGACCCCATCCCCGTTCACAGCACGTGGGTTGATGGTCACCGTGCTAGTGCTCATGCTGCTGCTGCTTCTGCTGGCAGTGCTGGTGGTGCTGTTGCTGCTCCTGCTGCCGCTGGTGGTGCTTCTGCAGATGCTGTGTGCTCAGCGTCAGGAGAAGTGAGGCAGAGAGTGGCAGCAGAGGAGGAGCATGAGAGGGCGTATCTGATGCATGCGGAGGTGCAGCTGTCCACCAGCCGAGCCACGCCCCTGTGGGCGCGCTCCTATGTGAGTGCCCTGCTGCTATGTGAGTGCCCTGCTGCTATGTGAGTGCCCTGCTCCTATGTGAGTGCCCTGCTCCTATGTGAGTGCCCTGCTCCTATGTGAGTGCCCTGCTCCTATGTGAGTGCCCTGCTGCTATGTGAGTGCCCTGCTGCTATGTGAGTGCCCTGCTGCCTTTCTCAGGTGCTGCTCCTCTCAGTGTGGCTCAATGCACGGTGAATGATTCAACTTGTTCCACTCTACCCTGCCATGCCACTGAGTGCTGCTGTGACTGCTTGGTGCCCTGCAGGTGCAGCTACAGCCTGACGACCCTCCGGCCCAGCAACAGCTAAAGCACCCACTGGATAGCGGCGTTAACAGCACCCAGTCAGCACTGCCAGGCACCACCACCCCTGCACCGCTGGCCTGTGAGCCACCCCCTGTGCGCCCACCTGCTCCCCTTGCCGCTGGGGACTTCCCCCCATTCTTCCCCTCCTCTGCCAGTCCGCCCACACTCGAGGGCTTTCCACAGGCATGTGCGGAGCAGCAAGCTCAGCCGCACTTGGGGTCGCACATGGGGATGCATGTGGGGGTGGAGCGTGGCAGTGGGGCCATGCATGCCCCCAGACGCACCTCCGCCCTGGGTGGCCTGCTCCGCCACTCCACCACTGCTATTCCACTGCTCCCACAGTCACTCTCACCCACAGACACAGCCACTGCCGCAGCCGCAGCCACTCATCTTGCAGCAGCAGCGCCAGCAGTGTCTGAAGCAGACCTCCCAGGTGCTGCTATTGCGGCTGGGTCCCTGGGTAGCAGCAGCAGTGTGGTAGGCGCAGGGAGCAGGGCAAGGGGGCAGGCGGCGCAGGAGGCGCGGACAGGGCTGGGCGTGGCACTGGAGCAAACCAGGGGGATGGGAAGCCGAGGGCAGGCGCATGGGGGAATGGTGCAGGGCGGTGGGGGAGGGCATGTGGGGGGTGCTGGGGAGTGGATAGCGGTGGAGCCGGGGGGAGGAGCAGCAGCAGCAGGAGGGGAAGAAGGGATGGGAGGTGTGATGGGTGTGGGTGGAGGGATGGGGGCCACAGGCGGGAGATTGGGTGCTGTGGATGAGGAGGGGGGCATGGGGAACGACTCTGGTTGGATGCGAGATAGAAGGGCGGCTCAAGAGGGGGCTTACAGTCAAGCAAGTGGGTTAGTGGGACCTGTTTCCAGGGCGATGGAGGAAGGCGGGGGGGAGGGCGAGGAGGGGCGGGTGGGGTTTGATATGAGTGGGAGGCATGGCGGCGAGAGAGGAGAGTCAGAAGGAGTGTTTGCGTTTGACGACCCGTGGCTTGGTGACCACCCGCACACTCTAGGTGAGTGATCCGCCCTCCCCATTGCCCCCTCTTCCCCTTCGTCTCTGTTATCCTCCCTTGACCTCTCTCCTTCCTTGCTGTCTGTCTCCACCGCGCCTCGAGATGCATGAGCTGTGCTTTGAATATGAACAAGGGCGAAATCAACAGGCTGTGTGCTCCCCTGCAGGATATTAATCCGCGCACACAAGTGCCTGCCTGCCTTGCAAGAGCCCCGCAGCCCAGCCCAAGCCAAGCCAAGCCAAGCCACTCTATGTTCGCCTCTGCTGCTTCTCTGCAGTTTTCACTCACGCTGATGTTGTAGGCAGGGGCTAGCATGGTGGTCTTGGCACAAGCTATATGCTACCAAGCCAAAAGGCACTAGCCTTAGGTCTCAAGCCCTGACCGATGACCTTCTTGGGAGGGAAGAGCTTGGGGCGGATAGTGTTGGAGCAAGGATTAAGGAGCGGCAGCAGGGATTAGGAGGTGGAGGCAGCAGCAGCAGTTAGGCGTGCTTTCTTTTTGTAGGCAACACTTAGGTGACTCTTAACACTAGCCGATGTAGCCTGCCTTGTAGTGAAACCCCTTTTGTACCCTTTATTACGAATATGAAGGTGATGGTTACTCTGTACCCTCGTTCTCTCTTAACTCTCCTGCTCCGCTCTCTGATCAGGTAAGCTGCAACCGTGATGATTTTTGCAACTCCTTTAATCAACCCCCCCTCCCTCCTTTTCGACCTGTATCATCCCCATCCCACCCCTCCGTGTGTGTCCCTGTGCCGCTGTGCGCATGGGAGTGCCGTGTTCTGTCCTGCCTCGTGCTTCCACCCCGCCCACCACCATGCCACCCTCCCCACCACCGTGCCATCCACTAGCATCCGCCTCTCTGTCCCGCAACAGCACCCACGGCTCCTCCGCCACCCGCCGTTTCCCATCATCATTGGCAGCAGCAGCGTCACCATCCGCATCATCCACGTCAGAAGCAGCAGTACCAGAATCAGCAGCACCAGCAGCATGGGCATCAGCGGTAACACCAGCAGCAGCAACAGCTACGTCATCCTCCTCCTCCCAGCCCCTGGTGGGTCTCCAACCGCTATCCTCTTCCCGACCATCGTCCCTCTACCCCACAGTGAGCCTCCTCTCCAGTCACTCCCAGCACCAGCCACCTGCCTCCTGTGCCCCCGAGATCCTCCCCCTGTCGTCTGCCACCCCATCCTCCCATGAACCATCATTTGCCTCTCCTCCCCGTCCTTCCCCACATGGTCCCCCTGCTCCCGTTGCCCCGCCTGCCAATGCTGATCCTCCTGCTCCCGCTCCTCCTTCCCCACCTGTCCACACTCCTGTCTGCACCTTCCCTAGCAGCAGCATCTGTGGTTGGCCTGTGAATCACAACCGAAGGGGGAGAGAAGGCGAGGGAGGAGTTGGCGGCGAGGGGGGTGTTGATGAAAGTGGGCAGGTTGGGCAAGAGGATGAGCGGTTGGGCGCTATGCGAGAACTCGGGGTGCAAGAACAGCAGCAAGTAGGGGAGGAGCAGGTGGGGAAGGAACGAGTGGCGGCAGAAGAGGGGCAGGAAATATTGCAACAGGAGCAGCAAAGGCAGGAGATTGACAGGGAGCATGGGCCAGAGGAGGTTGAGGAACAAGAGTTGGTGGCGGATGGGTGTGTAAGGGAGTCAGAAGAATTGTCAAAAGCGATGTCAGAGGTGATGGTGGAGGAGGTGTTAAGTGTGGAGGAGGTGTTAAGTGTGGAGGAGGTGTTAAGTGTGGAGGAGGTGTTAAGTGTGGAGGAGGTGTTAAGTGTGGAGGAGGTGTTAAGTGTGGAACTGGGGGGGGGCGAGGAGACAGGGGACGCAAAGCTCAGCCCTGGCTTGGAAGGAACTGTGCAATGCGGGGTGAGTGGGATGGGTGGAATGCAACAGATTTCTTTTGAAGCGAAGTTTGAGGGGGATGGGGAGGAAAGGGAGAGGGGAAGGAGAAGGGGTTGTGGAGGGACAGCGGGTTATGGTGGAGAGGCAGAGCGTGAGGAGGGAGGAATTGTTGTGTCTGAAGGAGGAGCAGGCCTGAGAAAGGTGGAGGGGAGGGAGCAGGAGCAGCAGCAGACGGAAAGGCAGGAGAAAGCTGCTGTAGAGACGCAAGGTGTCATCGGGAGTAGTGGGCGTGGTGAGGACAGCAGTGTTGGTAGTACTGGCATTTCTAGCAGTGGTGGGAACAGCAGTAGGGCTGGGGAGGTGAGAGGCCAACACAATGCTGCTGAGGATGCAGCAATTGCCGAACCTCTCCCAGCTGCTTCACCTGCCGAACCTCTCTTAGCTGCGTCACCAGCCGCACCTGCCTTGGCGTCACCTATCATACCTGCCTCCTCCGCATCACTACCCCCACTTGTCCCAGCTGTGTCACCCGGCGTACCTTTCTCAGGTGGTTGTGGGGGCACTGTGAGCAGTGGTGAGTCGTGTGCAGCAGGTGCAGGAGAGAGCGTGGAACTGCATGCCACAGAGGCATCAAGGAGTGAGAAGGGAGGCCTGCTAGGGGGTGAACAAAGGGGTTCTCATGTGGGAGCTATTGCAAGTGATGTCAGCAAGGCAGCTAGTGCTGCCAGCAGCAACAGCTGCAGTAGCAGTGGTGGTGCTGGCAGCGGCAAGGCAACAGCGACAGCAGCAGCTGAGGTGCCAACAACGCGAGTAAGGAAGGGGAAGAAGAAGAAGAAAGGTCTAGTGGTATCAATTGCTGCAGCAGCAGCTCCGCCAGCATCAGCATCAGCAGCAGCAGCAGCATCAGCAGCACAGGCAGCCATCAAGTCAGTTCCCAGCTCCGAGTCTTTGAACGGCTGGGAGCTCTGATTGCTTGCACTCATGCACGCTGTAACTGCTGCCCTTGCAGAGGAGGCGAGCAGCCCCTGATTGACCTGTCTCTCCGGTGGGATACTGCACATTCCCTCTCTGCTGCACCCAAGCACAGCCTTGCTGCAATGCAGGCTTGGTGCCACACGGGCTTGGGTACGACATGGGCTTCCGTGGGCACAGGCTTGGTACGGCACAGGCTTGGTACGGCACAGGCTTGGTACGGCACATGCTTGGTACGGCACAGGCTTGGTATGGCACAGGCTTGGTTGTGCTGCTTTTGCGCCCACATAACGAACCTGAGCCAGTGCGTGTTCGTGTGCCCCATCACTGCATGCAGACCGCTGTGCATCACAGGCTACAGCAGTGGCCAGTGCTCTTGCTGTGATGGAGCAGGAAGGGAACGAGTGAGTTGAGTGGCCTTCCAGACAGGAAATACTGCATTATGTTTATGCACATTGGACAATACGTGTAATATACTCCCTGAACATACAGAAAGGAGTTGCATTATTCTTACCGTATGTACACTGGACTATGCATGTAATATACTACCTAAACACAAAGCATGTGCAGGCCTGTCCGCAAAACTCTCTGCACCAACAGAGATCTCATTTCCCCGGCCCAGAAGCCCAAACAGCCCGGTTTGCCTACCTCTGCGCAGAGTGCACAGAGCCATGGCGGCTCTCCTCTTTCTAGACTACTCCCATGCCACCCATGTCAAGTATCCCACCACGCCTACACAAGTGCAATGCGTGGCCTTGAACCTAAACAGAGGACCTAATTTGCGCTTCCCTGCTTCATGCTTCCTCACTCCTCAGTCCTGCCCACTCCTGCTCACTCCTCCTTCCTCGCACGAAAGAACACGGCAGCCACGGGCTTGCCCAGCCCATGCTGGGCTGCAAACTGGCGGGTCTTAAAGCCCTTGCGTGCAGCAGGAGGGTGGGCGGTGACGCGCTGGGACTGGCGGAAGAGGGAGCACGTAGCGGTGCATGCCCATAGGGGGGGTGGGGCCCTTGTATTCTGTTAACAGGTCGCCTGCGCTGCTGTGTGGGAGTGTTGCTGCTCCTGGTATGTTCACCACCAGCCTGCACGCACGCACACACACACAGGGGAAGGGCTTGGTGTTACATGTGATACGGTAGCATGGGCTGCAATGGCAAGACATGTGCAAAGCAGTGGTCCACTTGCATGTTGCCCCTACTCCCACCTCCCCAGCAATAAATCCCCTGCGCCCAGCAACCACTCTTCCGTACTCCCCTCGACCCCAATCCACTACCCAGCTACCCCCCTCCTCCCCTCCCCTTTTCCCCCTCCCGTCCCCCCAAGGCCCACCAGTGCAGCCATTCAGCCGCCACGGGGTTGTCAGGGCTGGGGGCGTCTGGGTCCGACATCACCTGGGGGGACGGGGACGAAGAGACAGGGAGAGGGAGGGGGAGAGGGGACGGGTGGGGGAGAGCACGGGGGACGGAGTGAGGAGCGGGAGAGAGAGGGGAGGGACAGGAAGGGAGGTGTTGGGTATGGGTTTGCGTTGGCGTTGACTGGCGTTGACTCACGAGGGTGTAGAGGTCCCCGTTCTCGTGTCGCCCCGCCAGCTCGACGTATGGCGCTTCTGCTGCCTCGCTGGGCGTCAACTCGTCACCGTTTCGCACCTCCCTGCCACCGTACTTCACCTGCCAGCACCACGCGATTCAACAGAGTCAACCAGGTCAGAAGGTTAACTTCAAAGGAGTCAACAAAGTCAAACCCAGCTTGCTCCACGAAAGCTTCGCCCTAAAGCGAGCCCAAGGCGAGTACCTGTATCCCTGCGCGACGCGATACCTTGATGTCGAGAGACGGCACGAAGTCGTCGAGCACGTCGCCAATCACCTTGCCCTTCGCCAGCGCCTCGTGCGACGCCTCCATGCTGTCTGCTGCAGTGTGCGCGAGCCTCGGCGATTTCTGAAAGTTGGGAGAAGCGCGCGAAATTGAGAGGGCTCCCTAGGGAATATCGTCACAGGCGAAATGCAAGAACGAGATAGAAAAGAAGAGGATACGGAAAAAAGAAAAACGGGAGGGGACGGAGGGGCGGGAAGCGCACAGCGTGCGACAACGCGAAGCAAGGGAGGCTGACACGGGCGACGCGATTAGGAGCCAAATGGCAATTGGTGATGAATTCGGGGCTTGCATGGGGAAGGAATCAAAATCGGGATGCACGTGCGATTCGCTTCTGAGTATCTGCTTGGAGTGAAGCATGGCATTGTCAGATAGTGCATTCCGCTACAATAAAATATACATACGGTAATAATGCTAAAGTTTGTCACAAAATGTTACGTTTCTAAATCTGCTGCTGCGTCGCTCAGGGCTTGCTTGAATATGCGTACGCCCTGCATATCATAACAAAATCACGGCCAGAAATAAGAGATGGCAGAAACAGAAAACAAGAGACGTCGAAGGAAGCGGAAGGGAACCAAAGCGACGAACCTGGAGCGCAAAGATGACGTCGCTGGCACTGGCTTTGAGCATCACTTTGCACTTGGCTTGCGAGCGTGCAGCATTCCTTCCAACTCCCACCACTTGCAAGAGAGCCTGCACGCAGGCAGGTGTGCATGTATGTTGCATTAGACACAGGATAAAGTCAAGAGATACGTGAGATGAGAACATACGAATAGCAAGCTCAGGGAAAGTGTGACATGGCTTGAGTACAAATAAGCATGTGATGTACACCCAGGTCCAATGTGTGTTCCACATGCTACCCCTCCCCCACAGTCCCTGCCCCACAGTCCTTCCCCCACAGTCCCTCCCCCACAGTCCCTGCCCCACAGTCCCTGCCCCACTCCCCCTGCCCCACCCCACTTGCATTCGCATTATGCCCCATCCCACCCCACCTGCCCTTATCAATGCCGCACCCCACTGCACCGCACCTGGCCGTGCAGTATGGCGCACATGTCAGTGACCTCGTTAAGAGTGACACCCGGCACATGCAGCGAGCGTGCCAAGCCCGCATACATGCTGTACAGCTGCCAGCGTGGTAGGGGCAAGTGAGGGAGGGGCCAGTGCAGGAGAGAACAGAGGTGACTTTTAAGTTGACTCAAAGGCCAGCACATGAAACGAGCATGCCAAGCCTGCATACATGCTGTACAGCTGACACATGGACAGAGGGACGTGAGGGTTGGGCCAGTGCGAAAGGGAAAAGAGGTGACTTTTGAGTCCACTCAAAGGCCGGCAGGTGCAGTTAGCGTGCCAAGCCTGCATAGATGCTGTACAGATGACACATGGATAGGGGCAGGGGCATGAGTGTGGGAGGGGTGAGTGTGAGAGGAGACTGCAGGAGGGGCCATTCTGGACAGGGCTCATGTGTGGGAAAGGGAAGCAAAGTCACTAGCAGCAAAGGGGTAGTGCGTGAGAGGGCTGGCGAGGCAAGTACCTGGGAGAGGAGAAAGTCGTTGGGTGTGGAGGGAGGCTTGGCCTTGGTGATGAAGCGGTGCCTTGCCCTGTGCTGCTGGTGCTGCTGCACACACGCTACCAACACCATCTGTGTCGCAGGGAGGGGTAATGGAGGGGGTGAGGGGGCAGCATGGGACAGAGGGGGCACGGGATGATTGGCACATGCAGGAGGCTTGGCTTTGGTGATAAATCGGTGCCGTGCCCTGTGCTGCTGGTGCTGCTGCACACACGCTACCAACACCATCTGTGTCGCAGGGAGGGGTAATGGAGGGGGTGAGGGGGCAGCATGGGACAGAGGGGGCACGGGATGATTGGCACATGCAGGAGGCTTGGCTTTGGTGATGAAGCGGTGCCGTGCCCTGTGCTGCTGGTGCTGCTGCACACACGCTACCAACACCATCTGTGAGGCAGAGAGGGGCGGTGGATGGGGTGGGAGCAGCATGGGACACACAGGGTGTATGGGTGGGATGATCGGCACATGGGAGGCATCAACCAGTAATACTGAAATCGTGAAAGGGTTAATGGGGGGATGAGATGAGACAAGTTGCCAGTGAATCGTGGCTGAAGTCGACTCACAACACACATGTACCTGCTGGTGCAGTGGCAGCGAGCGAATGCAGTCGACAGTGGATGAAGCGAAGGAGCGGGAGAGGGCCTGCGCCATGTGATGCACCTCCAACTGCACATGCAGGGACACCGCCTCCCCTCGATGCACCCCCACCGCCACCGCCACCGCCTCCCCTCGCTGCCTCTTGCCCGTCGCCTGCCCCACTGCCTCCCTCCCTGCCGCCCGCTTGCCGCTCCTGCCGTCCCCTGCTGCCCCAGCAGCGCCGTCAGCAGGTGGGCCTGCAGCAGGCAGGGCCTCCCTCGGATCCGCCTCCCTCGCATCTACCTCCCCCGTGTGCACCTCCCTGAGCTGCGCGCTGAGCTCTGCCTCTAGCACATCCACTGCCATTCTGATCGCACACGGGGGGGGTCATGGAGAGAGAGCAGTAGGGGAGAAGGTACGGAAGGAGAGGGCTGAGCAGAGACACGGCAGCTATGACTGCATCTACCCCTCCAACGCGTGTGCGCCCCTAAGCTGCGCCGCCAGCTTTGCCCCCAACACCTCCACTGCCATTCTGATCGCACAGTCGAGGCAGCCGTGGGAGAGAGAGCAGGGCGGTAGAGCATAAGGAAGCGAGGGTAAGAAGGGGACAGAGAAAGGGGGGGGAGTGAGGGGAGAAGAGGCTAGGGGGGAAGAGAGGGCAAGTGGGCAAGGAGGAGAGACAGGGCGGCTATGACTGCAAGGAGGATTTTCAGGCAGCTTGTTCCGGCTATGGTGAAAGAATGCACGGTGGGTGAGTGAGAGTGAAGGGGCGTAGGGTTAGAGTGAAGGGGAGCAGGGTGACGGTGCGTTGGGGGGCATGAATGAGCGTTTGGCTGACCTGGTGATGTCAAGGGCCTTCCTCATGTCCCCTGACGCTGCTGCCACTTTCTGTTTGCACACACATGCACAGGCACACGCGGGTAACAACACCGTCACAGAGAGAGAAGCGAGTGGAGCAAGACAGGGAGGTGGCTTTTCGGGAAAATGGCAGGAGGAGGATAAGGATGAAACAGACACAAGCAGCAGCACTGTGGCTAAGTAACTCGGCTTGACAACTAGCTAGCGAGGGAGAGCAGCACACCCGAGCACAGAGATGCAGCGCCATGGGGTCAAAGGAGAACGACGTGCACGCGCTCTCCCGTGCCCCTCCCTCCCCTGCTGCCCCACGCGCTGCTGCCCCACGCGCTGCTGCCCCACGCGCTGCTCCTGCGCCCACTAGCTTCCCTCCAGTGGCCGCCTGCCCAAGTTGAATGCGCAAAGGGGGGCAGCACAGCAGGCGGGTGAGAGAAGCACACAGAGGCAGGACGATGGATGCACGGGGAGATGTGTGGTGGCATGGTCGGCACCGGCACAGCACATGGGCGTGGCAAGTGGCACGCACCTGGAGCCTCTGGGAGAGGATTTCGTAGATTTGATTGCGATCGTACGCTGGGAATGGCAGCAGTGCTGGGCGTGCTGTCACTCCCCTGCGAGGCAGAGAAGGAAGGCAAGTTGGCGAGAAGCGAGTGAGCATGAGGGGTATTGATGAGAGACAAAGTGAGCAGGAGGGGAAATCAGCAGGGGATGAATGGTCCGAGCAGAGTGACGACTGTGCGTGCAAACGAAGGCAAAGCATTGAAGAGAAAGCGGGGATAAAGAGGGAAGGGAGTGTAAGGAGGGTAGTGAGGGAAGCGAGGGCAGAGAGGGAAGGGAGGGTAACGCACGATGAGTTGGGGCGGGAGAGAGGTGGCAGCAGGGAGTCGATAAGATGGATGGAGTTGGATATGCCTGTTGGGGGGGCGTTCAGGGGCGACGAGAGGCACAGGGTGTAGGGTCGAAGGGGTTTTGAGTGCAATGCATGGAAGGTTGGTGGAAGGCTTAATGCCTTCACAATGGACAGAGTCACTGAGTTCAGCTGAACGAGTAGCGCTGAGCAATGACTGAGTGACCAATTAAGAATGCAGCATTGTCGGGCCAATGAGGATGCAGTGAGGACTGACCAATGAGGATGCAGCGCGAGTGGGCGTGGAGGGAGGGCAGGAGGAAGAGGTCGGTGAGCACGGAGGTGTCCCTTCCCCTCACCAGCTGATCCACCTCGTCCGCCACCACCAGTCTGATGCATGCCATGCCATGCCATGCCATGCCATGCCATGCGAGCCCCACCCGCACAGCACACACCACGCACAACACAGAAACCACAGCATTCACAGACATCTCTCAATGCACACGAGGGGAACAATGCATAGTTGGGGGAGACAGAGACAGCACATGAGCACTGAGCGTGCTGCCATGACTCGATCTTTCTGGATGACGACAGCGGTTGTTGACGGTACTCGGAGGGCGAGAGGGCTGACTCAGACAACGAGGGGGTTGACTTTAATGCTGAGAGGGGACTGACTCAGATGAGAGGGGGCTGACTCAGACGACAAGAAAACTGACTTAATGGCGAGGGGAGTAAATGCAGAGGAAGAGAGGGCGGACTCACATCATAGGTTTCCTCCCACTCTTGCCACCACCACTGCTCCCATCACACTCGCGCGTGGCCCCATCACCACACCGCTTATCACCACCAGCAATGGCTCTCCCGCTCCCCTGCCCTTTCCCCGCCTCTCCCTCCCTCAGCCGCAGCACTCTCCTTGCTCCTCCGCCACCCTTATCCCCCATTCTGCCACCTCCCTTCCCCTGCGTCACCCGTCCCTTCCCTGCGGCGTGCGGCTCTGCATTGCCTGCATGCCCTGCAGCCCCTGCGTGCCGTGTGTCTGCTGCCACCACTTCCACCACGTCATCATCCTCCCCCGAAGACCTCGCCTCCTCAGTTGCATCCCTCGCACCCTCGCACTCAACCAACCGCGACGCGATCCCCTCCGCTTGCTCCGCCCGCTCCTCCTGCACCTCCTGCTGCAGCAGCGACAGCACGGCCTCTCTCGCCCCTTCGCCATCCCCGCTCGTCCGCGCTCTCCCTGTGCCCCCTCGCCGCTGCGCGCCCTTCCGCCTGCTGTAGCTAGCGGGAGAGCTGTGATGCGCAGCCTCGGCTGCTGCTATGGCGCGTTCCATCTGAAACCCGCGCGGGGAGTGAGGGGAGCGGTGAGACGGGTGGAAGGGGGAGGGTGCGGAAAGCGGAAGGCTCAAGAAGGCACAGGATGACACAACACGAGTGTTTGGAAGAGGAACTGGTATGGAGAAAGAGAAACAGCAAACTACAGCGGGGGGGCGAATGAGGGGCAGAGAAAGGTCTATCGCAGCCAATGGGGGACCTTTTCGAATGAGCGGGCTGTCACCTGGGGGAAGAGGTCGGCGGGGTCGGTGAGCGCCATGCAGTTGACGTATACCGGCACGCACAGGGGCTGCGGAGGACCGGGGGAATGACGGGTTCAACGCACGGGCGCCGGGCACATGGGAACGGATGAGTGTTTCGGGTGATTCGAATGGAATGACAGGAGCAGGGTGAGAGGCGAATGCACGGCAAAGGGTGAAACCCATTGTCGAAGGAGGTGGAGCTATAGGCGCAGGGATGCTGACAACTACAAACGACTCAGTTTTGCGTGCGTGCGCGCGTCCGCGGCATTCCCTGGGTTCACCTGGCCAACCGCGTTAGTCCACGTCGACACCTCCTTCGCCACCTGCGACAGCATCAAGGTCTTTCCTGTTCCCGGGCAGCCGCAAACGTATAAGCTGCCCGCGCGGCCGTTGGTCGCATGGTCACGACAGAATGCGACGATCTGATCGCGCTGCGCGTCGCGGCAGCGAATCTGAACGAGCCCGCAGCTGTCCTCGGCTGCGCCGCGCGCGTCGCTGTTTTTACACTGGCGGCCGTCTGCGACGAATTCCTTGAACGTAACTTGTAAAGACTGTCGCACACGATCCAGGCATCGCGCGACTGCGGTCGGAATGGGCCGTGCGGCGTTTGAAAAGGACTGCGATCGAGTGTCGCGAACTTTGTCGTCCGGCCCCATGCGAACTGCAGGCAACGGCAATTTCGAGGCTCAAATCGACAATGAGCCTAGAAACAGCAAGGCGTGGAGCCAATAGCGATCGAACGACGCGGAAACGAAGGGAAAGAATACAATTTGAGTCCGTCCAATGACACTTTGAGGCGGAAGACACGGCTGCCAGCAAGCTCGAACGTCAGACACACTGCTGCGATTGTCGACGGCCACGTCACTACACTGGTCCTGTGAACGATATTGCCTGGCCAACAAACTACGCTTCAGCGAAACTACTATGCGATTGTGGGACCAGACCTGACTGCTTCTCGTTGCAATATTCGAGTATTCAAGTACATCCATCTGCCTTGGTTTTCGTTGCCCCACCCTCCTTGCTTTCTGCCACCTAGATACCCTTTTCCCCCTTGGTATTCCCCGCGCCTTGGTAGCCTAGCCTCCCGCCTTTCAGGAGAACCCTGTGGTGCCACTTTCGTGAGCTCTCGCTAGAACATACAGCTGGCGAAGCCTAGAAACTGACCCGCTATCGTTTTACCATTCTACGATTTGAGTTGGAAATCAGACAATATCCATTATTCATAAGCTAAAAAATCACACATGTAAGAATTCTTAATTAGCGTAACATTACAACCTGTACGACGGTTGACGAAACTGGAACAGCCAATAGCAGAGAGCGAGCGCCACGCGCACCCACGAAGCAGCAAAACAGAAGATCAACCGTCCCAACCGCGCAACCTCCGCTGACCAACTGGAGTTGCCCAAACTCCATGTGCGGTTCGGAGGTTGCGATTCCAGAAATTTGACATTTTGACTCGCACACACACGAATCGGGCTAGCCTTGAGGTATAAGGACCAGCGCCGAAACCCTCAATCCAACACTCGGATTTCATATCCGTGAAACAGCTAGATCAACACCCTCTCAGGAACTAACGATTTCTTACCAGATCTTCCGTTTCTGGTACTGCTGCCTTTGCGTCGGCCCAGCAATCATGGGGCTGCTGAGCGTGCGCGTGGCGCTGCTGTGCGCGGTGGTGGCGCTCAGCCTCGGCGGGGGAAGCTGGGCGCGGAGGCCATCAAGGGCAATGACCTGACGAAGCCGTTCTACTGCGACAAGGACAGCAACTACGGCTTGTGGTACCGGTACACGTGCGCGTGCGCGTCCATGGAGCCGAATGACGTGGGGATCTACTGGGATCCCGCAGTCAACAAGAGCATCGGCGTGACGTGCCCGGGCGCCAACCCCGCGGCCGTGGGGCGCATGGCGTTCGGCAACAAGTGGCTCGAGTCCGTGGGGTACGTCTACTGGGTGGACGAGCTCATGCGCTGCGCGCGCCAGCCGTACCGCGGCGACGGGCGGCAGCTGTGCTACATCCCCAACATCCGCGGGCGCGCCAAGGAGCTCTTCGTGGGCAACGGGTACGTGCCGCCCGGCGGCAAGCTCAACGGCCGCCCCTGGAACTGGAACCCCGAGCCGCCTTACATCGGTGACAACTGGCGCTCCTGGGCCTGGGACGAAAAGCCTTACTACTAACCACTCGCCGCTGCCTGCTGCCGGGTGCACTCAATCTCACACACACATGCAGTTGTTCCAGACACGTGGATATGTGCAGGGCGGGGGGTGAATTAAGCGGAACGGCGGTGGTAGAGGGGGAGGAGAGGAGAGACCTGACTGCGGTTGGGTTGGAAGGGAGAGGGGAAGAGACGTGTTGGTAGGCAATGGTACGAGGGTTAAGGCATGCGTGTAGGAATAAACGAAGTTGATGATGCTTGTATGGACGTTGGTTGGGTAATGAATTCAAATATTGAAAGGGTGCTGGACTTTGGAGTTGCTTTTGAGAGTTCGACGCAAAACAAAAGGTGTTGGTGTTGGGAGGTGCTACAAGAAAACCCCATAGCACGTACGGTAACACCTTCTACTTGTGGAAGCATCCTCCTAAACATGAGATGGATGGATGATATCAGCAAGCGCCTGAGAACCAGTACGGTATGCTACCATGTCAACTCGTTCTGCTGGTCAGTATCGTATGTCCACAGTTCCTCAGCTGAGAGGGCTTGAGAGGGCAGCAAAACAGAGTGATGAAGGGTGTAAGGGCTAGACCACACACATGACGGCAATACATGTTTAGGTCAGGTCAGGGAACTAGCGTACTGGAGTGGATTCACAGTTAGACACCTTGGACCAGGTCACTTGTGCTGCAAGCACTCAGCCTTCATCATACTAACCGTACTGCTACCGTATTGTGCTGTACTGGAGTGGAGTGGACACCATAACAAGTTGAGAAAGAGAGGCACACAAAACAGCTGTTGCCCACACTCAAGGACACCTGTGTGTGCCGTCGGTTGTCCCATACGCATCCTCATCCCGTTCCGCTCCCTCCCAGCCAGCCCACTCAGTTGCAGTCACAGCAGCATCAGCATCAAGGACAGCCTCAGCCTCATACCAGCAGCACCCAAGGTTTGGCTGACGGACCAACTAAAGCACAGCACACGCTACCCCCCTCCAATCTCCTCGCTTCCACCTACCCGCCCCCTCCATCCATCCCTACCTTCCTCTCCCTCCCCTTCCTACCCTCCCATCTCCCCCTCCCTCCCCTCCCTCCCATCCCTCCCCTCCCTCCCCTCCCAACCCCTCCCTCGCCTTCCATCCCTGCACACCAGGAAGCAGTGCTGCGGTCATCTTGAGGGCCGCATGAGCACCATGCCGCCCATGGGCGCCCGCATGCCCGGCGCGAGGCAGCACCACCCCCCGCCCAGCCAGGTGACTCTTGAGACACCTCATAAGTCATCTTGAGGGCCGCATGAGCACCATACCACCCATGGGCGGCCGCATACCCGGCGCGCCAAAGAACTGCCCCGGCAGCGGCAGCACCGCCCCCCGCCCAGCACCCCCCGGCATACCAAACGGCATGCCAGGCATCCCCGGCATGCCAGGCAGGCCCATGGGGGGCATGCCTGGCCGCAGCAGCTGCTGGGGAAACCCTCCGGGGGCGGCAGCGCCGCCGGCTGCTGCTGCTGCGGCTGCGGCGCCGATGGGAAGGCCGGAACCGATGGGGACGGAGCCGAGGTGGTCTCGGATGCGCTGGTCTATGAGGGACTGCGTTTGCTCCTCCTCGTACTGCTGGTAGTACGTACGCACGTTGGCCTGAGAGGGGTGTGAGGGGCCGGGGGAAGGGGTGGAGTGGTGGGCAGGGGCAATGGACGGTGGAAGGAGAAAAGGTGAAAAAAAAAATAGGAGGAAACAGGGGTGGGGAGAGAGCGAAGAGAGGAGGGGGAGAGCCGAGGGGAAGAGGCGATGGGAAGGCCGGAGCCGATGGGGATGGAGCCGAGGTGGTCCCGGATTCGCTGGTCTATGAGGGATTGTGTCTGCTCCTCCTCGTACTGCTGGTAGTATGTTCGCACGTTGGCCTGAGATGGGTGTGTGGGGGGGAGGGGAGGAGTGGTGGGCAGGGGCGATGGACGGTGGAAGGAGAATTGGTGAAAAAAAAATAGGAGGAAACATGGGTGGGGAGAGAGCGGAGAGAAGAGGGGGAGAGCCGAGGGGAAGAGGCGATGGGAAGGCCGGAGCCGATGGGAACGGAGCCGAGGTGGTCCCGGATTCGCTGGTCTATGAGGGACTGGGTCTGCTCCTCCTCGTACTGCTGGTAGTACGTACGCACGTTGGCCTGGTGGGTGGGAGGGAGGTGAAGGAAGGCAAGGACATGTCTCCTATCCTATCTGAGGCTCCCTTTGAATGTGCTGGTCTATGAGGAATTGTGTTTACTTCTCCTCATACTGCTGGTAGTATGTACGTTGGCCTGAAAAGGGGGGGGAGGAGGGGTGGTGGGAGAAAAAGACCAGAGGGGAATTCTGTAAAAAAGGAGGGGGAGAAGAGGAAAAGCAAATGGAGGGGCTGGCCTGCGAGCGATTGTGTCTGCTCCTCCTCATACTGCTGGTAGTACGTGCGCAAGTTGGCATGTAAGGGGGGAGAGGAAGGGTGGGCATGGATGGTGGATGGTGGAAGGGGAAACTAAGAGAGAATGAGGGAGAAGAGTAATAGAGAAGAAAGAAGAAGGGAGGCGATTCAACGGGGCAATGGGAGAACAAGATGTGAGTTGGGTAAACCGGCAATCAGAAGGGTTTCGGAGAGCACGAGGCATGCGAGTCAATTGCTGCGTGAAGCCACAAAAAAATGGAGGAATGGAACTAACGAGGGAGCCTTCGAGTGAGGGAAGAAAGGGTTAAAGGAGGGCAGGCGAACATCAGTGGGGCGCATGGACTGGTACAGGCATGCATGCATCAGTGGGGCGCATGGACTGGTACAGGCATGCATGCATCAGTGGGGCGCATGGACTGGTACAGGCATGCATGCATCAGTGGGGCGCATGGACTGGTACAGGCATGCATGCAGCCCTCGTCTCACGCCTGTGGAGCCACCATGTGCTGTATATGTATGCTACTACCCTTTTATCCCTCACCGTGTGCTTGTAACCCTCACCTTGTGCTTGTAACCCTCACCTTGTGCTTGTAACCCTCACCTTGTGCTTGTATCCCTCACCTTGTGCTTGTATCCCTCACCTTGTGCTTGTATCCCTCACCTTGTGCTTGTATCCCTCACCTTGTGCTTGTATCCCTCACCTTGTGCTTGTATCCCTCACCTTGTGCTTGTATCCCTCACCTTGTGCTTGTATCCCTCACCTTGTGCTTGTATCCCTCACCTTGTGCTTGTATCCCTCACCTTGTGCTTGTATCCCTCACCTTGTGCTTGTATCCCTCACCTTGTGCTTGTATCCCTCACCTTGTGCTTGTATCCCTCACCTTGTGCTTGTATCCCTCACCTTGTGCTTGTAACCCGCATTGTGTTGCTTCCTCACAGATGGCTGTGCCACGCGGAGGGATGGGGGGAAGGGGAGAGGGGGGGGGGGGGGGGGGGGGGGGCAGGGTGAAGAGATTGCGGAGAGCAATGAGAGTGGGTGAGGAGCGCGGGAAGAATACCGCGGGGCGCAGCAAAGAGACTGAAGAGTACAAATGGAGAGCAAGGGGATGCACTGAGTGGGAGTAAGGGGAGTGAGTAGGAGGCAGCAGAGGTGGCAGGCGTTTTGGAGTGGAGTGGAGAGAGGCTGATGAATACGTGCAGTGACTGGTGCGAGAAGAGGTGGAAGATAGGAGGCAAGCGAGGAAGTGGAGGGTGATGGGGGAAGGAAAGAGAAGGGGGGGTAATCAATTTTGCCGGTTGAAAACTCTAGGAGATGCGAAAAATGAAAGAGGATCGGAAGAAGGGAAGGGGATGGGAAGAAGGGAAGGGGACGGGAAGGAGGGTGGGGAGAAGGGGGGATGGGAAGAAGGGGACCGGATGAGATGGGACGGTGGGGGACGAGATGGGAAGAAGGGGAGGTGAGGAAAAGACAAGAGGAGGGCTGGGAGAAGGAGAAAAAGGCCACAAAGCAGGCGTGTGACTCTTACCGAGTCGTGAGTTAAGTACGTGTCGCAATAATCGCAATAGTATCTGCGGTTCAAGGCGAGGCGGTTGACAAAAGGGAACACGGAGAAGGAGGGAAGAAAGCGGTGTGAGGGGGAGAGAGGGGGGGGGGGAGGGGGAGCAAAAATTAGTCAAGCGTGATTAGGAGTGAGCGAAAAGAGGAGCGGAGGCGAGGGAGGGGAGATAAACGCAGATGAGAAACGAAAGGAACGGGTGAGAGTCTGGCAATTAGATGAGCAGATGAGCGCGTGCGTTAGTGAGCTCTCCAAGAGGATGATATGAAGTTCTTCGCAAAACGAATTTTAGAGAAAACACTTCGAAGAAAAAAAAACCAACGATCGGTGACGGTGGGAGAATCTCAACGTCATCTCGAACTAATTAATTCTACTTGATGCAATCCAGGGGGAGTTAAAACTCTGAGCCTCGAGGGTTCCAACCCTAACTAGCAGAGCAGAGTGGAGCATACCGTGGCATGGCCGCGACGACTGATTTGCGGACAACGATAAACGGTCGGAGAACCGTACAACGAAGGAAGAGCTCCAAAATATAGTAGTAAAAGGACAACCTAGTGATCAGAGACCAGAAACATAAGACGCCAAAAAGTCGAGACCAGAAACCCGAGACTAGGAAAAAACAATTTAATACAATAGATAATGCCTAATGTGGTCGAAAGGACACGCGGGGATAGCTCAGTTGGGAGAGCGTCAGACTGAAGATCTGAAGGTCGCGTGTTCGATCCACGCTCACCGCATTCTTTTGAAACTGTTTCCCACAGCAAACATTTAAAGCCCAAAGTCAGCATGGTTTTTGCAACAGTGATGCGAGGGCTTTAATCGTGTTCGCGAAAGGCATAAAAAATACATTTCGGGAACTGAACAGGTGCGAAAGCGAAACCAGGCAGCGACGAGTTTTAGCATTCGTCACCCAGCCGTGCGACACTGCACCACAATTGTTGGTGCTTGGAGGGGGTTAGAAAGCACCTAACTTGGCTTAGAAAGCACCTACCTTGGCTTAGAAAGCACCTAACTTGGCTTAGAAAGCACCTAACTTGGCTTAGAAAGCGAAGCCACATGCGTAGATTGGTTTGAAAATGCACGCGACTCGTCGTCGGCCATTCTCCCGTCAATGTCGCACACTTCCCTCCATCGCCATAGCGCACTCCCCCCCATCGCCTTCGCGCACTCCCCTCCCGCCTTCGCACACTCCCTGCCCGTCGCCTCGAAAGAGGATGATCACTCCCTCCCGTGGCCCACGCTTCCTTCCCGACGCACGATCACGCTCCCTCTCCTCCCGTCTCCTTCGCTCGATGCCTCTTTCGCCCCTCCTCACTCTCTTCCGTCGCCCACGCTCACTCCCCTCCCGTCGCCCATGCTCACTCCCCTTACGTCATGTACGCGCACACCCATCCGTCACTACTAACGCTCCCTCTCTCCAGTCGCCCACGCTCCCTCCCCTCTAACAAGAATGGGACACCCCGCGCCTTGCACCTCCCCTTCCTCCTGCTACGCCACACCCACACTCTCGTCTCCCCATCCCTCCCATCCCTCGTCTCCCCATCCCTCGTCTCCCCATCCCTCATCTCCCCATCCCTCGTCTCCCCATCCCTCATCTCCCCTTCCCTCGTCTCCCCATCCCTCATCTCCCCTTCCCTCGTCTCCCCATCCCTCATCTCCCCTTCCCTCGTCTCCCCATCCCTCATCTCCCCATCCCTCATCTCCCCATCCCTCGTCTCCCCATCCCTCATCTCCCCATCCCTCATCTCCCCATCCCTCGTCTCCCCATCCCTCATCTCCCCATCCCTCATCTCCCCATCCCTCGTCTCCCCATCCCTCATCTCCCCATCCCTCATCTCCCATCCCTCATCTCCCCATCCCTCATCTCCCCTTCCCTCATCTCCCCTTCCCTCGTCTCCCCTTCCCTCGTCTCCCCATCCCTCATCTCCCCTTCCCTCATCTCCCCTTCCCTCGTCTCCCCTTCCCTCGTCTCCCCATCCCTCATCTCCCCTTCCCTCGTCTCCCCATCCCTCATCTCCCCATCCCTCATCTCCCCATCCCTCGTCTCCCCATCCCTCATCTCCCCATCCCTCATCTCCCCATCCCTCGTCTCCCCATCCCTCATCTCCCCATCCCTCATCTCCCCATCCCTCGTCTCCCCATCCCTCATCTCCCCATCCCTCATCTCCCCATCCCTCATCTCCCCATCCCTCATCTCCCCTTCCCTCATCTCCCCTTCCCTCGTCTCCCCTTCCCTCGTCTCCCCTTCCCTCGTCTCCCCTTCCCTCGTCTCCCCTTCCCTCGTCTCCCCTTCCCTCGTCTCCCCTTCCCTCATCTCCCTTCCCTCGTCTCCCCATCCCTCATCTCCCCTTCCCTCGTCTCCCCTTCCCTCGTCTCCCCTTCCCTCGTCTCCCCTTCCCTCGTCTCCCCTTCCCTCATCTCCCCTTCCCTCATCTCCCCTTCCCTCATCTCCCCTCCCTCATCTCCCCTTCCCTCATCTCCCCTTCCCTCATCTCCCCTTCCCTCATCTCCCCTTCCCTCATCTCCCTTCCCTCATCTCCCCTTCCCTCGTCTCCCCATCCCTCATCTCCCCATCCCTCGTCCCCCATCCCTCATCTCCCCATCCTCATCTCCCATCCCTCGTCTCCCCATCATCTCCCCATCCCTCGTCTCCCCATCCCTCATCTCCCCTTCCCTCGTCTCCCCATCCCTCATCTCCCCATCCCTCGTCTCCCCATCCCTCATCTCCCCATCCCTCGTCTCCCCATCC